CCCCCCCCCCCCCCGAATGCAAGACTCACCGTCTCTTTCACCCTTTCGAGTCCTTTCTGCCGTCATACTCGTTCCTATTGCCTTTCTTCACGGCGGATATTCGTACGGCAAGAATAAAACGCTGGCATATTTCAGACTTATTGCCCCCCCCGCCCTTGCCAAGTATTCTCGGTTCCTTTATTGCTCCTAGTTTCATTCTTTTCCGGTTTACGGTATTACCGCAATGGTATTACACGTGTTTCAGCGTTTTTATCCTCGCCCTTGTGCACGAAACCACCGCTCGATCCCGTAGTTCTACCGTTTGCGAATCTTCGAGGTATTCGTTTATGAACTATAACGTTTTTAGGTCGCTTACATTGCAAATACTCTCCGAATCAAAGAAGGCATTCTAACACTAAAACTAAGTATTCTAACAAGTTCTGAATGTCACTTTTTATGAAATCTCTAGTGAATTTAAAACATATCTCAAAAAACTGAAAAGAAAACTTGATTAACGCAGTTTTTCAAGGTTTTTTAAGTTTTTTTAGTTTGAACAATGCACCGCGAAGATAGAATTGAAAAATAATGCTTTAAAAGTTTCCTTCGAAAATAAAATTTCACTATGTTTCCCCAATATTATATTTTATATTTTTTTGCGCAACATGCTAAATACATACAAATAGCGGTCTATATTTTGGTTTTCGTCGAAAAAATATTACTGTTTTTCTAAAAATCGAATTTTGTATGCCATACATTTAAACATAATTTTTAACGCTTGCTATCAGGCAGAATGTTTTGATAAATAATATATATTTATTTTAAAAAGGTTTAATTATACTCAATAAAATTTTCCATGCAATCTCATCCATAGTAAATAATTTTAATAACAAAACTGTTCACGCAAATATTACACTAGCAATAAAAAAGATCCAGATTATTGTAATATTACCGATTTTCTTAGAGTTCCAGATACATTCTGTCACTATTCTCCAAAACAATTAATAGTTTGTTTCCGTATTATCGTTATCCGAACAGCTCGGATTAATTTCAATGTGTCTGATTATTGATACTGTCGTATTACTACGGAAACCCTATTACACTGTCAGACTGTCGCTTAAGTACCGAATGGTACTTTGGGTAAGGTTCCCAATAATCGATACTGTAAATGGTTGGAATGGTTTCGACCCTTTGACCCGCATTGATCCACGAGAATATTGTCGCTATTTGTCAAATCTTACGTTATTCAAGAATCAAGAACGCGATACGTACTACGTTCAAAAAAGAACTAACGCAACTCGAGGTAAATTTACTTGATGTCGCGAACACAAAATTCTACAATTTTATTTTTACATTTAAATACATTAAGTTTTTAATAAAGGGAGTATTATAGTATACAAGTCAAAGTTCCAATTCTATTAGATAATTTGAATAACAATGATCTAATTTTCGAGTTCTTTCCCTTTCTTTTTCTCTCCACTTTTCTTTCTCGAGTCCCTTATTGCCAATTAAATTGCACCTGCAGTTTTCTGATTTCTGTAACAATCAACGAGTTAAGCTGCTCCAACTTTGAAATCCTACCATTGTCTTTAATGTCTAGGAGTGATTCGCCGTAACGTCGTCCCACAGCGCGAGGATAGGTGCAGCAAGAAGAAGGGCGCAGAACAGGCGTGCCCGAGAATGGGCTCGGATAGCGGTAGCGTTTCAAGTAGCATTTCCTTGGCACAAACGACCCTCTTAATCAATCGCTAGCACCTCTCTTCTTCTCCGGCTGCTTTTGGCTCTACAGCTTCGAGCTGTGCGTGGAGCACCGTCTCCTCCACCTCTTGCTGCCGGAAGTCTAAAGCCCCCGTAACAAGCCGCAACTTCGATAAATCTCCCCACACCGTCTTTCTTTCCCCGAGAGCCGCGATTCCGCGGCATTAGCAAGAACGAAAGGAGAAAGGCGAGCGAAAGATATATCTCGGATCGATTTCGGCGAAGGCGCTCGGGGGAGGATTTATGGGGACCTGTGAGCGAGAATCGGGCCAAGCCGCGCCGCTGTAGTTCGGCTCTGACAAATCGTCCGGAAGTTAACGTTCTCGATCGTCTCTGGATCGCCTTTCCGCAAACGCGAATCTCTCCCTTGGTGCCCTGTTCTGGGAAGAAAAAAAAAAAACTTTCGACCCTTTCGATATCCGTATTTCGTATCAAAAGTTTGCATGCGTCTCGCTTCAACGGCAAACGCTTTCGACGAAGTTAAAGTTGTTTCTTTTTTAAAAGAAGTCGGGAAATCAATAAACGCCACGATTGGTTTCAAATTCTTATATTTTGTTTTACCGTTTGGTTACTTTATAGTTTACGTGAAGCATGTTTTCGCAAAACTTACGGTAAAAAGGACGAAGACTGACAAAGTCAAACTATAACTGAATATTATAAACTCAATGCAAATCAACAAATGTAATTAAATAAATACTCGTAATATATTTTATGATAATAGATTTTATCGTTAATTCTACACGCTGTGTTTACTTTTCAGGTTAATACGTCAATTCTTTTTCAAATAAGTAAAAAATAAACATTTCACATCCAACTTCATATTCAGACAACTGATTAGAAAATCCTCAAATTACGAAAGATTTTAAATCATGGTATCAGAGAAACGTCTTTTGCTATCATGCTCCATCATATTTTCTGTAAGCAATATTCCAAGGTAAACTTTCCAGATTGATTTCAAGATTCGTCAATAGATTTGAACCGAAAGAACGATAGCGATCAAAAGATATTCTACAGAAAGATAGATATGCAAGAATTTTGTACAAAGTATTTGCCACTCCATAGCACCGAATTTGAAATATAATCCCTGATTGGTGAAAGAGATCCCAACGCCTATGTCTCTCTCGATCTTCGAGCATGAAAACTCACGTATTTCTCACAGAATTTTCGTGCTGAAGTTCTCCATATCGGCAGCCATTCGTAAAAAGACCTGACGGAGTGGAATTACTGTAGGAAAGAAGGAACATGAATGCTCCGGTTGAATGGAAAATGGCAACTATAAGGAAAGTCTAAAAGTTTCGAGCTTCGGAAAACTGAAAATGGGGAAAGGCTGTGAGTTTAAGCACCGATATAAACGATCGAGCTCTTGCTTTCGGCGCTCGAGAAACGATCCAATCCGAATAGTCACCTGCGCCGTTTAGAAGGAAGCAATAATCGTTTGATTCTGTGCGTTTCTATAGTAGAATCCCCGATTGCCAGATCTTTTGTTCGTAAGAAGGTATAAGATTGAAAAGCCTGCTGTACGAAGAGATAAACGCGATGTCCCAAAGATTTAATACACTTCTTTATCTCATCTGTGCATTGCACATCTTCATTTATTTATCTTTATTTAATGTATTCATTAAATCTTGAACTAATCCGATATTAGAGTACATCATGTATATTGCGATAATAATCGATTAATTATTGACTTAAAATTGTAAAAACTAAAAAATAAATTAATCCTATCTTTATCGATAAAAACGTCTTAATTTTAGTATTGAAAATCTAAGTATCATTATTGAGTATATCTGAATAAACAAACGTTTTAACTGCAATTTTGTGAATCCTGCCAAGAATGGTTATCGGTAATGCAAGTGAATCGCTTTGTCGAGGAAAGTCTCGGATCTGATCATATAAAACAAGGATTACTCTAATCCATCGAAATAATTTTGCATTAGAGCACACGCGAGGTTGGATACGGGGCTAATCTACTCGGACCAGGAGCGAGTGCTCTTCGAAAACGCGGGAATTAAACACGATCCCAAAAATATGAGGGAAGCGAACTTCGTTATAATAAATTCTGGAGTAACCAATAGAAATTATGCGTCGTATAAGCCAATCATTTATTATATACCGCCATGATTCTCAAAGAGTCTTTTTAGCTCTTTCGCAACCGCAATAAAGAGAAAGAACAAAATATAACAATGGATCTTGATGCAAAAAAAAATTAGAAATAATAAGAAAATCAAGTGGCTTCTATTATACTTGAAAAATTAATTTATACCCAATAAAATTTAATATCGTTATGAACTTTAATAAAGTTAATCGAGTTAATCTTTGCTTTGTGCTTATAAAACACTGCCTTTTCGTATTGCATTGACCGTTTCCAGCAATTATGACAAAACTTTAATATATCAATATAATTTAGTCGACTCCCGGCTCATAGAACGCTATTTTCTTAGAATTACTTGTTCGATCGTAGCAACTTTCATGTCTAACCATCTCGTACGGTATCATAACAAGCGCACTTCTACGCACGTTTTGTGTTTGATCAGTAAGCAAACGTGAAGAAGAGAGGATAAGAGGCAAGTTACCTGCGCCAGCCGCCCCTAGCCTCAGGACTGCATCGCTTTGAAGAGAGATGGAGAGGGTGGCGGTGTCCTCGAGGCGGGCGAGGACCTCTTCGGGAATGTCCTCGGGTTCGCGGAGGCGGAGAGTGACTTCACCTCCGCCTCCGCTACTCTGGCCACCTCCACCCCCGGGACTTGTCGACGCCGAGTACATGAACACAGATCCGTATCCATGTAGTGACTGCAGTGGCAGCCTCACGCCGCCCACCTCTCCGACCGGACCCTGAAAATAAAAATATGAGTTATCGTTAGAGAAAGCGGACTAATCAAAGTAATAATCTTAATTATATATGTATAATTGTTAAATTCTTTGTCTCAGATTATAATTTCAATTATAATTCTTTATCAGTGATGTTGTATTTCTTCTTATTACCTATTACTTTTCTGTGACTTTATCAAAAATTGATAAATTCGCAAACTAATAAAATATATAGCTAACAAAAATATAATAATATACGTTTAAAAAAAGTAACTTTGCAATAAGCAAATTAAACTTTATGTTTACATTATTTTATCTTGATACTTCGAGTTTTATGAAAATTTAACGATATCTTTCGTGCAATGTATATATAGAGAGAAAGAATAAAAAAAGAAACAATAGTTCTGTTTCGTCAAATAAAACGAGCGTAAAAACACTTGATACATATGTTACATCCTGTGGAATAGTATCGAGGAGCCGCATAATATTTGCCATGGAATTCGATTGGTAGAACGAGTGGCCGGAAGGCGCGTCTGAATCGATTGATGTGTCATATTAAATTTAAGGCTACAGTTTTCCCTTCGTCCAGTCGTATCCCGCGGGAAGACCTTCGTTCTCTTTTACCGTTCCTCTTGTCTCTCGTCTCGTTTTTGCCGCCGCCGCAGCCTAACATTCTCTTTTACGTACAGAAATATTTTGCCAATTTCGCTGTCGATGCAAATTTCAATTCGTGAGCGTCAATATTTGCTGAATCGTGCCGAAAAAGGATTTTGATGTACTGGCATTTTATCCGCCATCGAACGCGCGTTTGACTTCCACGTGAAAAAGACTCTACGCCGCAGTGAAAAATAAAGACAGAAAATTCCTGACAAATACATGAATGGAAAATGAAATAGATCTTTCCTCTCATTCAGATTACGATAAAAGAGAGAGAGAGAGAGAGAGAGAGAGACCTCCTCTAGTAAAAGCTCGACTTTGCTCGAGATATTTTAATGGAACGAAGAGATTCAATTATCGCCGCGCGTGTTTCTCTGCGCGCACAGTTTCTGATATGCTGTCGGATGTAATAAGGAATATCGAAGAAACGTGGTGATAATGATAGTCGATATTACTCAGAAAAAGTGCGATGCAATATCGAGATACAATGGAAATTGTCCGATGTTTTGTATCACGCGATCGATCGATAAGTTAATGTCACTATACCCAGTGAAATGGGATTATAGTGTTCACTATAAATGAATTATTCTGCTATTTCCCAAACCCGCTAGAGAAAGAGAGAAAGAGAAAGAGAGTTGCCTTCGGCAAAGTTTATCGATTATATGGCATGTGAAAATTAACAAAAAGATATACTTTATTAAAACACAGCTTAACAAATAACTATTCATAGAATGTATTTTTTTTTGGTATAAAACAGAAAACAATCCCATTTTACAAATAGAAAAGAAATATTATTGACAATCTGATGTAAGCAAACCGATAGAAAAAATTTGTATGTCGTTATCAATAATAAAAAAATATTTTTTGGCAATGCGCATGCAACGTCAAAGCTAAATATAGATATATTTGTGCCAAGCATAAATTTGAAATAACAGATGTTGTTAGTTTCCGTAAACAGGAAAGTCGGCCGATTCGCGTACAAGCCAGCGAGAATTAAAAATATCGGTGTAATACTGGTACAAACAAGGTTTACTGGAAATGTTTGTAGAACTCGGGCACGTATAAATGCCATCTGTATAAAGGCAATGTGCCCGGATAGTACAAACACCGGTTTTAATTCCGACGCGAATCTATACAGATGTGAACCGCACAAACAGAGAGTGTACTCGTTTACCGATTAAAATATTATGCGCTATGATAATTGAAAAAAAATGTACCTGTACAGCAGTAAAAAAAATACGCAGATAATAATATTGCGAGAGAAAAGTTTGTGAATATTACTGTGAAAATTTATAAAGATGTAAATATAGTAATATTTTCACCATAAACGTCTATTAATTCTATTTTTAGTTAAGCCTAACTCTATCTGAGTTGTATTCTATTAAATAGATGATTTCTTTAGAGAAATTATTATAATTTAATTAATTAATCAACGTAATATATTTCAAACTCTCCTTTGTTACAAGGAAAAAGGTTAAGCTATAAATACGTAATAATATAGATTAAATTCTAAATATCAACCATATCCTACAAAGTCGTTAAAAAAAACCTACATTTACAAAGAACATATTAATTAAAAAATTCTATTAAATTTTTCGATTAACTAAAAATAATACAAAATCTTATTGAGCAAAAAAAACATTAATTATTATTGTCACCTTTTTATCTACTTTCGCAATAAAATTTACAAAGAACATGAATATTTTATATTAAAATGTTATTACTTAACCAATATTTTTTATAATATACATTAAAAAATATATATATATATACATAAAATCGTATGGTTAACATATGGAAAAACGATTAGTGTTCCAATAATACCCAGTATTATTTGTAAAGTTATTAAACATCACGAGGAGAGAATTAATGCTAAAATTTTAATCATACTTTTACAAATTTCAAATGCGATTTGTAAATGTTTCGATGCCATAAACACCCTCAAAAATATTTCCAAAGCACGGTACGCTTAAGCTAGGAAATTTCAAGTTCGCACGTATCCCCGTAATGCATCCGATTTAATGGCCAGTGCCGTGTATCCGGTCGCGCGAATTTTCCCATTGTTAGCGGTCGAGGCACGAGCCGCGTACTCTCTCTATTATTTACGTAAATTGATTCGTACCGCTGACTATTTCCGCGTCACGTATTCGCAGCCATCGAGCTAGCCGGCGCGGCGGCGGCGTTGTAGGCGGCCAGCACAAGCCGTCGCTACAGCCGCGTGATGAGAGTAATTTATTTTAATGGTCATTTTCGTAATGGGTCTTTGAACAGGGCGCATGAACATCTCTGAATAGGACACGTATAGCGTAACACGGCAATCCCCCTTCCTGCTTCTGCTTCTCTCTATACACGTGGTGGCCGACGTACAAGAGAGAGAGCGCGGCGAGAATGCACGGTAACTGTGCCATTCGCGAAAATGGCACCTGTTACCGGAAACAATGCCCGTCGCCGTCTCCACGCTTTTCCATTTTAGCAACCGCGAAAACTTTTCTGTTCCACCTCGCTCTTTCTCGTTTTTACGGCCGGCATTGTAGTACGACGCGGTGTAACGGAGAATCCAGTACAATTGGCAAAGCGACGGCCCATTTATGACGCCCGGGGATCATTTCCATGAAGCTGCAATTAATTGAATCCGTCCCGAAAACCGTGATTTATATGACGCGTTCAGGAAACGTTTTTCCGTAATACAAAAACGACACGATACAGACATTTCGTTCATTATATACGTATATATTATATGACGTTTTCCTCTCCGTTACCGGCGAGGGAATATTTTTTGAAATCACTTTTACACAGCAAGTACATCGAGTAAACGAGGAGGGTACCGAGAAATGCCAGAAAGTTAAATCGATTTCAAGTTCACCGGAAGAACGAGAGGACTTTCTGATTCGACTTTCGCCATGGCAGCAAAAGCGAGCTTCAAAGTCGGAATCCGGCGTTCTCGCTCGGCAAGGCGGAAGATTACGGTAATAGATACGGCAGGGATATCTCTGAGACTCGAGTCACATATCGCTCGGGATCGATGTCATTCTCGATACACGCTATTACACGTGCTCGGTCAAGGGCGAAAGTCTCCCGTGGATATTCGAATAAATATTCACGACGCTAGCGGGACATTTTGGAAAAAGGACTAATAAATATGAGATGCGCGCGCTTCGAGTTTTTTAGATTATACTTTTTGTTATGGGCTTTAAAAATGCCTTTTTATTGTTCCCCACTGATTCGTAAATTATATTCCAATACTTATACTGTTATCTATACATTCTATCTCCTTTCTACTTTTTCCATTCCTACATCCTTTCTTCTTAAAATGCATAATAGCTACGTACCAATCTAAAAATAATTTTGTTTGAATTATAAAAATAATTATGCCCAAACTAATTGCCAGAATGTTAACTTTTTATAACGTTATTCATCATGTTTGAACGTTCTACATTTCTACATAATAATTTTGATATTCCAACAAAATTATTTTCAGATCTGTATCTAGTTAAACCTTAGAGACTTTAACAAAATCGTATTTTCCATATGACGTCCGAAGTTCCACATTGATAATAACTCAAAAGAACTTGAAAACGTCAAAATATGTTCCCATTGTGTGTAAAAACTACTGATAAAATCAACGAACCAAATTATTTAAAATCAAAATACTTTATTAAAGATCAAGGAAAATTCATAGAAATTATGTTTCTTATAAAATTGGAATAGCACAAGAATTTTTGTAAAATATAGAAACGAATCGATTCTCTCTTCATGATAAAAACGTAAAAAAAAAAATAAAATAAAAGGAGAAACGAAAATACCATAGCAATATATTATTTTATAGTTAAAAATGATTTTATCGTTTAGGGATTTTAACGGATATAATTTTTCACGAAATGTCGACGCTTCGAATTGCTCCTGGTGATGAAGAGCCGACCTCTTTGGGATTTAGGAAGAAGTAATAACAAACGGAAACTACAACTCTCGGAAGCCTGATAGATTTTATTCCGGCACGTATGCAAATTGACAAATTGAATTCACTTCGCGCGCCGTTCCCAAATAAAAGAGAACGATACAAGCCGATATATGGGCTGCAAAAAACCGAATGAAAAGCGGATACGGCCGCGATTTCACGCTGGAGTGCTATTCCGATTTCGGAACATTAATCAGCATCTTTCGTTCCGGAATTCCCAATAAACAGTGCACCCAAGTATCAAGTGATTATTCACGGAATACCGTAAATGTGCGACAATTATTTCGATTTCGTCTTTTCAGCTTCGAAAACGCACGGTCTTTTCACGAAAAACATTGAATTTTCTCCAAAAAGAAATAAAATAGATAGATAGCTTTAGGAAACATTGCAAGTACGTTTGCGACTCTCTCTC